TGGAGTAGAGTTGTTTGTAGTATTTTTTTTACAATCCATAGTATTTTCTGTGGGGTCAGTTGTTACTTTAGCTATTTCATTTCTGATTTTGTTTATTTGGGTCTTCTCTGTTTCTTGGTGAGCCTGGTGAGAGGTTCATCAATCTTGTTTATATTTTCAAAGAACAAGCTCTTGATTTTATTGATCTTTTGTATTGCCTTTTGGTCTCTATGTCATTTATTTCTGCTCTGATCTTTATTATTTCCTTCCTTCTGCTTACTCTGGGCTTTTTTTGTTGCTCTTTTTCTAATTCTTGAAGTTGTAGGATTAGATAATTTATTACCATTTTTTCTTGTTTTTTTGAGGTAGGCCTGTAGAGCTATGAACTTCCCTCTCAGGACTGCTTTCACTGTGCCCCATAGATTTTGCATTGGTGTGTTTTCATTGTCATTTGTTTCCAGGATGCTTTTTATTTCTCTTTGATCTCTTTGGTAACCCAATCATTGTCTAATAGCATGCAGTTTAGCCTCCAAGTGTTTGATTTTTTTTTTTTTACTGTTTTTGTAGTTGATTTCTAATTTTATGCCATTGTGATCTGAGAAGATGCTTGATATGATTTCTATCTTCTTGAATTTGAAGAGACTTAGCCTATGTCCTAATATGTGGTCTATTTTTGAAAATGTCCCATGTGCACTTGAGAAGAATGTATATTCCATTGCTTTCAGGTGAAATGTTCTAAAGATGTTAATTAGTTCCATCTGATTTAGGGAGTCATTTAGGATTGCTGTTTCTTTGTTGATTTTTTTCAAGACTATTTATCCAGTGACGTCAATGGGATATTATAGTCCCCTACTATGACTGTATTGCTGTCGATCTCTCCCTTGATGTCTTCTAGAAGTGTTTTTATGTATTTGGGTGCTCATGTATAGGGTGCATATATGTTTACCAGAGTTATATCCTCTTGTTGTATTGATCCCTTTAGTTTTATGAAGTGGCCTATCTCTTGTTATGCCCTTCACTTTGAGGTCTATTTTGTCAGATATAAATATTGCTACCCAAGCTTTTTTTTTTCATTTTTATTTGCCTGAATTTTTTCCCCATCCCTGCACTTTCAGTTTGTGTGTCGTTTGTTCTGAGGTGGGTTTCTTGTAGACAGTATATATATGGATCATGTTTTCTTATCCATTCAGCTACCCTATGTCTTTTGATTGGAGCTTTTAATCCATTTATGTTTAAAATTATTATTGACTAGATGCCCAGTGCATGAAATTCATGCACGGGGGAGGAGGGGCTCCCCAGCCTGGCCTGTGCCCTCTCACAGTGTGGGAGAGGACCCACCTCCGTACCGCATGGAGCCGCGGGACCCCCGGCCTCACCGTGTGGAGCCATGGGACCCACCTCCGCACTGTGCACGCAGTGTCAAGCTCTCGCCCACCCGTGTACGCACGCAGCCCTGCCCACCCGTGCACGCTGGTGCACACGCAACCTCCTGGTGATTGCTTGTTAGTGTGAGGGCATCATGGTGTGTGGGTGTCTCAACCACATAGGCTTTCATTAATAGGATAGGTTTATTGCCATTTTTATTCTTTATGCCTGTGTTCCTTCTTCCTTTTCTCTTTCTTCTTTTTACAAAAGTCCCTTTAACATTTCTTGCATTGCTGGCTTGGTGATAATAAACTCCTTCAGCCTTTTTTGTCTACGAAGCTCCTGATTTCACCTTCAAGTTTGATTGATAGCCTTGCTGGATAGAGTATTCTTGGATTCAATCCCTTGCTTTGCATCACTTTGTATACTCTTTTTTATTCCTTTCTGGCCTGATGTGTTTCTGATGAGAAATCATTTGATAGTCTAATGGGAGATCCCTTGTAGGTAACTTTCTGTCTGTCTCTTACAGCCCTTAAGATTCTTTCTTTGTCATTAATGTTTGCTATTGTAATTACATGTCTTGGTGTGGGCCTTTTTGGGTTCATCTTGTTTGGGACTCCGCTTGTGTGAATTTTTTCCCCCCCAAGTCAGTGGAATTTTCTGTCATTATTTCTTCAAATAGGCTTTCTATTTCTTGCTCAACTTCGTCTCCTTCATTTCATGTTGTCCCAAAGCTCCCTCAGGCTCTCCTCCTGCTTTTTAATTTTTTTTCCAATTGCTGTTCAGATTGGGTGTGTTTTCCACCCTGTCTTCTAACTCACTGATTTGATCCTGCGCTTCTTCTAGTCTACTGTTGAAACGTTCCATTGTGTTTTTTATTGCAGCTATATCATTTTCCATTTCCTCTTGATTCTTACATAAGTTGATTTTCTCTTCCAACCAGTTTAGGAACCTCTTGACCCTGCCTCTGAATTCTTTCTCTGACCTATTGCTTGCCTCCATTTCATTTAGTTAAGTGGTTCTCAACCTTCCTAATGCCGCTACCCTTTAATACAGTTCCTCATGTTTTGGTGACCCCCAACCATAAAATTATTTTTGTTGCTACTTCATAACTGTAATTTTGCTACTGTTATGAATCGTAATGTAAATATCTGATATGCAGGATGTATTTTCATTGTTACAAATTGAACATAATTAAAGTATAGTGATTAATCGCAAAAACAATATGTAATTATATATGTGTTTTCCGATGGTCTTAGGCGACCCCTGTGAAAGGGTCGTTTGACCCCCCAAAGGGGTCGCGACCCACAGGTTGAGAACCTCTGACTTAGTTCCTTTTCTGACAATTTCTCTTTTTCTTTCCTTGGGGCATTGTTTCTTTGTTTCCCTGTTTTTGCTGTCTGTTTCTGGTCCTGGGCACCCTGCTTGGGGTTTGAGAGGTTGAAGACCCTATCAGGCCAATGGTCTGGAAATTGTCAGCCCAGAGGCTGGGTCTGCCTTGAGTCACACCCCTTTATTGTCTGTGCTCTGAGTTGCATCCCTTTCTCCCATGGATCTGGTCCCTCAGTTATCCACTTCAGATGCTCGGGGTGGCGGGAGCGCGTGCACAGTTCCTCTGGTGTGCAACTCCCTGTAAGGACCCAGTGCTCTCTGACATGCAATTCACTTTGCAGCCCCGGCACCTGTGGCAGGGTGGCACCCTAGATACCTCTGTCAGCACACTTGCCGCACAGTCCTGTGGCCCCTGGCTGGGCACACTGGATTGCTCTGGTTTGCTCCAGCAGTGCTCTCCTGTGGCTCGGAGTGGGGCATGTGCTGGGTTTCTTTGGATCATACATTCCTCACTTTCCTGTGGCCCAGAGTGAGGCATGCACTGGGGTGCTCTAGTTAGCCCCTCCCCAGTGTGGAGTGAGGGTGGTTTGCTCTGGGTCATACAGTCCTCGCTTTCCTGTGGCCCGGAGTGAGGCACGTGCTGGGTTGCTCCAGGTAGCTCCAGCAGGACTGTCCCGGGGGCCGGGGTGGAGCGGGCACAGGTTGCTTTGAGTTGCACAGTCAGAGCTCTCCTGTAGCCCTGAGTGAGGTGCATGCTTGGTTGCTCTGGGTCGCATAGTTCTCGCTTTCCTGTGGCCCGGAGTGAGGTGTGTGCTGTGTTGCTCTGGGTAGCCCCAGGGTGGAGCAGGCGCGGGTTGCTTTGGGTTGCACAGTCAGAGCTCTCCTGTGGCCCGGAGTGGGGAAAGCACTGGGTTCCTCCGGGTCGCCCTGGCAGCAGGTCCTGGGGCTTGGGTTGGAGCGGGCACTGGATGGCTCTAGATCAGACTGGCAGCATGGTTCTGGGGCCCAGCGTAGGGGTGGGGTCCAGGGTTCTCCCTGGCTTGTACTCACTGCAGGGTCTTGGAGCCAGATCCTGGGATACTGGGTCCCGGTGGGCTGGTGAGGAGGCCTGGTGCCGGAGGTCACTCCGGTGAGTGCTCACTGCAGAGTTCTGGGAGCCTGCCAGGAGGCACTGTGCCACTCACTGATGGGGTATGTGAGTGGTTCCACTTGGATTATGGCTGGAAAGTTGCATTCTCTAGGTGTCCTCTGCCCTTCCTTGTTGAAAATGGTCTCCTCAACTGTCTCTAATTTGTTAATTCCGGTGGATGTTCTCTGATTTCGTTGCTTTTCTGGCTTGGCTGCAGGAGGAGGTGTGTGACACTTCTGCCTATTCAGCTGCCATTTTTCTTCTCTTGTCTATCTGGTTTTAACTATTCTATGTGCCATGTAAATTGAATGATATGTACTTGTCCTTTTGTGACTGGCTATTTTACTTAGCATAATGTCTTCAACCCATGTTGTAGCATAAGGTCATTTCTTTTTAACCTACTCATTTACTTTCTCATGTAGATAAGAAATTTCAGTGTAATTTTCATTTTCAGGTTATCTTTATCAACTCAATCCCTCATTTTCAATTATTGTTTCAGTGTCCATATTATGAATTGGGAGAGAAGTTCTTCCAAAGTGAACGGTCTGAGTTTCTGTAGTGCTCATGTCTAGGAAGTAAAACAGTTTGCCCTGTGCTGTGAAATACACAGTTTGTTTCTCTCATTCGGTCAGATCTAGAAACCTCAACTGGGCGATTCCCTAGTTTTGGTTTTTCAAGCTTTTTCTTCCTGTTATTTGAAGGACACGTAATGGTGCCATGACATACCCAAGGCTTTTTCCGGGATGAATGTTGTGTTTGCAGGGGATAGTTCTGGCAGAAAGGGCAGAGAAGGTATAGGCTTCCACAAAGACTGTGTGATCTTTTCCATTAAAAAAAAAAAAGGGGGAGAGATAAAATGTAGACAGCACCAGACAGATTCAGTTGCCAAGGAAAGATTCAAATTAGATTTTACAGACCATTTGCCCTAAATCAAACCTAAAATAAGATTCCTTTTTATCAAAATCATTAATACTGACCAGTATAAAGTAGAAAATGAAATTGTTTACTCCTCATGTAATTAAAAGTATTACTTGAAGTGTTAGATCTTTTGTCTGAGTTTCTCAGGACCTAGAAGTCATGATGGATAGAGGATTGTCATGCTGTTTTCTAGGAATCTAGATCTTTAAGGCAGGGAAAGAAAGGAAGGGGAAGAGCAGTTGGAGGAAGTTATCTACCCTTTTTCTTCCTTCATTAGTTGCCTCTAGAAGTGGATTTAACTAAAGCAAAGAGACAAGATTTTGAACCATTTGTGGAACAAGCAAGATACAGCAGCTGCCGACAGAACATGACTCTGGGACCCACAAAACCACAGGAAGCAACCTCTCCTTGCAGACCAAGCCACTCAGATGATCCCCACATTATGATGCAGGGGGATAAGGACAGCAGATCCAGGTACAGGACCTAAGTTCCTACCTTTCTCTTCTGCCTTCTCATGCAGACTAAGTTATCTCCATTTTTATCTTCAGAGCCAGCAAGTTGGTTTGTTTGCCCCTCAGAATTGTATATTGTTTGTTCAGGTAACTCAGGAACTCACTCCCACCTTGTTGCTCCCTATGCAGAAGCCTGGCGTCCTCTGCTGCGGAGAGTGATGCCACTTTGCAGCGGAAGCTCCGGCAAAAACAGCTGCAGCAGCAGTTCCGGGAGCAAATGGAGAAACAGCAGCGAGTTCAGCTATCTGCTCCATCCATTGAAAAGAAGAATCCAGGTTTGTGAGAAGGCTGGGAGCAGAGGCCCCAGGGAGGTGTCCTCAGTGCCCCAGGGAGGTGTCCTCAGTACCCCAGGGAAGGCTTGTGGTCTGAGGACTCCGATCCTCTGCCAGCACAGTATGGTTAGTCCAAACCAGAGCTCCAGTTACACACAGGATAGATGAGACAAAAAAATTAAGAGTGAAATCCTGTGTATTTTCCCCATTTCTAAAGACACTAATCTTTCGGGGGTGGGAGGGAGATGGGGAATGGACCTTGACAAAATCCGAAACTTGAACTAGAAGTTTCTCGGTACAGAGGGTTTTTTTGCTCGTTACTTTGACTGCCTCTGCATTACAAAGCCTTTCTGAGCTGACTGAATATAAGGAAGATTTGCATTTGAAGGTAATGGGGGCTTCTGGTAATTATTTATCTGTGACCTTGTTTATTTCAGAGTTCAGATTCAGTGGGAGTAGTATATAGAAGTTATTTTTGGAGTCTTTCCCAGAGAGTAGAAACAGAAGGGCTAATCCCAGATCAATGGGATTTTTGCTTAGCTTCTCCCTAAGAATTATGAAGTTTATAGAGGACTTGCTTTCATTAATATTCCCCTCAGCGCTGAGGCTGAAATTAATCTAGAGGGGGAAAAAACATCAACTTACGGTGCTTGGATGTTCTTAATAAGAATTATTCTAGATCTTTAGCTTCCAAACCATTGTAGAGTCCCTGAGGGCGAGGGGTGGAGGAGAGTCCTCCAGGCCTTTCCCCCACCCCTATTCAGAGTCATTGATTATATTGGTTTCTCTATATTGAATCTCTACTTAAGAATATCTTGGAACAAAGTTATAGCTTTAAAAAGTAAAAACTAGGCCAGATGTCTTCTAATAACCCTTCTATTTATGTCCCTAAAGGAGAAATAAACTGTTTCTCCCTCCCCAATTGGGTAAGGGAAAGGCTGTTTTGAACCTCATATAGATCTACAGGGGGACTGGGACTCAGGGTGTTGAATTCTGCTATTGGCTGTGCTATGAACCAGTGTAACTCTAGGCTGCTTTGCACTTCTGAGGCTGCTCCCTCACACTTGAGTTCTGCGGTCTCTCCTGTGTAGCAGAGCCACCGGTGCCGCCTTTGAACCACAGCACTCCCAAAGCTGATGGTGCAGAACCAATCACCGAGAAAGACTTCCCTGCAGGTCAGTATATGCTAGAGGGATGCTAAGTATTAATCAGGAAATACCTACGAATTGCTTGTAAGTTACTGTACTGGATACCTTGGGTAGTTAGAAATGCATTTTAAAAAAGGCATAAAAGCCCTGGCCGGTTTGGCTTAGTGGTTGGAGCATCGGTCCTCTGACTGAAAGGTCGTGGGTTCGCTTCCTGGTCAATGGCACATACCACAGTTGCAGGTTCCCCAGCTCTGGTAGAGGCACATATGGGAGGCAACCAATCAATGTACCTCTCTCACATAGATGTTTCTCTCTCTCTCCTTTCCACTCTCTCTGGAAATCAATGGGGAAAATATCCTCAGGTGAGGATTAAAAAAAAAAAAAGAGGTATAAAAATCCCTTCTGCTTTATAGCCCCATGAAGTTTTAGGAGAAAGAGGACCCAGAGTGGATTGATAGCAGTTCTGACGGTAGCACAGATTTAGCTCCCTTACTGTCCTAACAGAAGTTTCAATGTACTTTTAGGAGTTGGGGAGAGAGAATCTATAAACTATCATTGGGCACTCATGATATGTGATTTCTTATGACCTGCTTTTCCAGTACTTTATGTGAGAACACTCCCTTCTTTGTTGATGCTACATTTTCCTGTGATCTCTGTCTTTGCAGACAGTTTTGAAATATGGGATATGGTTCCAGAGGCAGGGGACAGTGCTGTCAAGCCCTTGTCTATACCAGAATCACACCAGACTGCCGCCACACCAGTCCTGAAGAACCAGATGGTGACCCGGAGCAGGACCCCACAAAGCCTTTGCCACCAGAATCCACAAGCAAAATCGCACCTCCAAACTCCCAACGTTAACCAACACATAATAGGTAGCAAAGTGTTTTAGGAACAGATATTGGAGAACCTGGGTTTAGTTCTATGAATTTTAAAGGTGGAATAGCATTCCATTTAAAAAAGTTGGGTAGAATCATGACAGAGGAATAGCAGAAAATAGAAGATAATTGGTTTGAGAGCCAGAACTTGTGCTGTGCAATCCTAGTGGGAAGCTTAGGTATGACTGCATTAGGAGCTTTTCCTATGAAAAGTGGGCCCGTCAGATTACTTACAATCTGGTTTAGAGTTAACAGAGGGATGTCTTCATAACAGTTTTCATTCTTAGGTTTTCAGTTTATTAGGATCATTAACTAATTCAGAAATTACTAGCTGTGAGTTCATTTTAAAATCATGGCAGCTATATTTTAACAGCTTTCTCTTGCATAGGAAACTGTGATTCCTACAGGAAGAACCAGGAGTTGAAGAAAAGGAAATTGGATCCATCTTAACAGAGGCTCAGGTCACCTCACCAGACTGTCACAGAGGGACTTTAGAAAACTGCTTTTTGGCCATGAAATTGTTCATTATATTCCTAGGGAATGAGCTTTATTTCCAAGGATTTACTTGGCTTCCTTCTGAACTTTTCCAGAGGATATGACTACTGGAGCCTACTGCAGATAAAGCTGAGCAGCTGGAAAACAAGTACTTTAAAAAGCTTGTTGCGACTCGGCGGCGGTCCCTGAGCCGATCGGACTTCTCTCGTTCGTGCACCTTGCTCGGCGTCCTCTGCAGCCATGTCTTACAAACCCGATATGGCTGAGATTGAGAAATTCGATAAGTCGAAATTGAAGAAGACAGAAACACAAGAGAAAAATCCACTCCCTTCAAAAGAAATGAACAGGAGAAGCAAGCAGGCAAATCGTAATGAGGCACGTGCCGCCAATATGCACTGTACATTCCACAAGCATTGCCTTCTTATTTTACTTCTTTTAGCTGTTTAACTTTGTAAGATGCAAAGAGGTGGGATCAGTTTAAGTGACTGTGCTGCCCCTTTTCACATCAGAATTACTGCCGCTCCCATCTGCCTGGCTGGCTGGTGGGGAAGGGGGACAACTTGCATTTTGGTGAAGGAACGAGCTGGGTGGGATGAAGGTGAAATCTAGAGTTAAACCAAGCTGGTCCAAGGGGTCCTGCGGGCTGTAAAATGCAGTTTAATCAGAGTGCCATTTTTTTTTGTTCAAATGATTTTAATTATTGGAATGCACAATTTTTTAAATATGCAAATAAAAAGTTTTAAAACCTAGAAAGAAAGAAAAAGAAAAAAGAAAAGCTTGTTGCACATTGAGTAGGCTTTGGGTAGATTAAATACCTTTTCTTGGGCTCTTGATGCTCATTATTTATTCCTATTATATTAATAAATACAGAAATTTTAGGCATCACCAGTGGCTGAAAGTAACATAAGCCATACTACCAAGCACCAACTTTTAACAACGACCTACATTACTGGGTGTCTGCCTTTCACTTTAGGGCACCAAGTTCCAATGTTGCCCACACAAGGACTGTACGTCACGCTTGGAACAAAGTGTGGAGTGGTGTTTGACTCCTGTGCATCAGAGTCCAGGCTGATCTTCATCCATGTTAACCTCTCATTTAATTAGGGGGACAATGATGTAAAGCCAAAGAAAAGGAATTTCAAGAACACAAAATAAATCCATTATTTGGTAACAAAATAGAAAACGTAAGTTGCTGTATATAGTTCCCCATTCAGATGTGTGATAAACCCATCTTAACAATAAATTGTTTTTCCATCATGCTTTCTAGATGTTTCATAATTCTTTCCCTCAAATAATGAGTTTGCAAGTCTACTTTTTAAGGTGCATTTTTGGGCTGTACCTTTTAATCTAATCTTGAAGCAGTGGCTTTTATTTTTTTGAATAACATTAATTTGTGGGAAGCTGGGAACCTGAGGCAAGGAACTCTTAAAGAACAGAAGGCAGTAATCCATTTCTATTTCTTGGGAAGATGAAGAGGCAGTGGCTTACCCTAATTTCTCTTTTTTTTAATCCTTACCTGAGGATAATTTTCCATTGATTTTTAACGAGAGTGGAAGAGAGAGGGAAAGAAGAGAAATATTGATGTGAGAGAAACACATCAATTGGTTGCCTCCTGCACAAGCCCTGACCAGGGCCCAGGCCAGAAAAAAAGCCTGCAACTGAGGTATGTGCCTTTGAGCGGAATCAAACCCGGGACCCTTCAGTCCACAGGCCAATACTCTATCCACTGAGCAAAACCGGCTAGGGCTGATTTCTCTTTTATCTCACCTATTGTGCAGATTTGGTTATATAGCCATCTTTTGATTTTGATATTCTTATCATCTTCAGAATATCATCTTTGTCTGCAGCATAACCATAGTTCAGGTCAGAACTGCCACTAAAGTTAGGAATCCATTTATAAATTGCACACAAAACAGCTAATGAAATCATGAAAAATGAATTGGTTGGGAATGAAACCCCACAACTCATCAAAAGCAAGTTTGGTTTATTTGAATGGTTTCATTAAATAAGTCTACAAAGGTTACAAACTGAAGCACAAAGCGCAATCTTACAAGAAGCGCAACACCCAGAGTTAGTGCAAAATGTACAATTAACGGCTGCGGAGAAACCCAAGGTTTGAATTGTTTATTCATTTTTTTTAAACAGTATACATTGTTAAATAATGTAAGGAAAACATTTATAATTCAGAAAGATTTTTTAATGTGGAAAAAGATACTCAAAGTGTACTATTAACACAAAAATAATTTAAACATTTCAGTAGCTAGTTCATTCCTCTAGGCTTCAGTTATTTCATCCACAGGAAGGAAAAAAAAAAAATCAACAGTAAATAAAACCAGTTCTTTCTTTTTTGTGAATGAAGAGATCCCAAAATTATTGAACCAAAATAACAAACAATGTGCTGCATTTGGCTTGCTTGTTTCTCTAGTAAAAAGTATTGTTTCATTTGTCTTAGGTGGTCCATTTCTCGTTAATTTGGCCACCTTCTTTGTTCTATTCCTTACTCTTACCATCTCCCCAAGAATTATAAGCAGAGAATAAGTAAACAATTTTGAAGGAGGACTTGGAACCTCTGCCCTTTTCATTTCTACCTTCCTAAAACCTTCAGCTTTCATTTGCATCATTGGGGCCTAGGCTAATGTAAAGAAACAGGGCCCACGAAGGGACAACAGGATAGGAGAGCCAAATAGGCTCTTCCTATTGTGGTGATTCCTGGGATGTGCCGTTGAGGTGGGTAAGAGGTTGGAAATATGTCAATTTCCCAACTCAAGAGTCAAGACAAGAAGCACCCAAAAAATTAAGAGTCCTAACTTTTTCCCCATCTTCAGAGATAATAGAGACCCCTAGTTAGCCAATTAGGAGAGTATTTCCTGAAAGCTCTGAAAATAATAGAACTGCCCATTATAACTAGGCATAGCACTAAATAACACTGGTTGGTTGCAGTTATTACTTAAGGAGAATATTTGTTAAAATGAAATGTGAGAATATCAGTTGCAATTGCAGAAATAAAGGTGGCACAACAGATTATGATCCTGCAACCATTTGGACATAGAAGAACAGGAAGAATATGATTCTTTCCTATAATGCTTACTTCAGATGTGGTTCCACTTTCCACAAAAATACAATACCCCAAGCTGAGAAATGCCTGGTACATTTGCAACAAGAGGAAAGCAATCCAAACAGTTTTTTTTAGAGCAACTTTCTCCATCTGTGACACTTTTCACTATCACGTTTTCCAACTTCAAAACTAACCCCCTCTCGCTTCCCATGTTCAGCCATTTCTTCTAGGTCTGTTCAAGCCCAGCTCAATGAGTAAGGCTATGGCCAGGCATCACATTACTTCAAACAAGTTTGTTCTCCCATACCTTAGTCTTTTTCTTTCACTTGTCCCACGCCTCCTTTAATCTTTTAAATTGCCCAATTTTATTACAGCACTCCTCCTCACTATTCCTGAAACAGAACTTTCTGCTTTCAAGCACTGATGTCAACTTAATTTCTCAACCTGCTCATCTCACACCTGCTCTAGACAAAATTGTTAAGTGACTTAAAAACACTCTCAATTTCCCTTTGGCATAACCCACTGCTGGGGTCACCTGGGCCTTAGATTTCCTCCCACATGCCCTTTGCTGATCTGGGGTCTGATGAGAAGTTGACGCTAATGGCAAAAGCAATAGAAGTCCAAGGCACTAAAATATCCAGCAAGCAATACTGGGAGAACAGAAGTATTCAAGTAAGTAATTTATACAATTTTACATTCACATTTATTTATCTAATACAATGGAAATACAAAGGAAAACGTTAAAGTGTCTCAATAAGTAAAGGACAGAGCTAGCTTTTTTTTCAACCTTTTAAACCTTTCATATTTTCATCTTAAAACTACTGTTGTCCAACAACATTTATATATCACAGTGTTTCCACATCAAAACTGATGGCAAAGTTACATGTCCGCAGGGAACGTTTTTTTCCTAATTACTAATGCTGCAGTCAAAGCTGCTGATATCATCTGCTTAAAGCACTAATGACCTATCATAAGAAAGGGTTGAAACTTCAGTCTTCTGGTGTTTTTCACTGGGTTCTAAAGAAAGAGAGAGAGAAAAAAAAGGGGGGGGGGAGAATGGGGGGGGGTGGAGGAACAGGGTAAGAAAGAACCCAATACTTTTGTCTTGTGGCTTAGATTCTTGAGGGAATGAGGGACTTGGGGTAGGTACCAAAATTAAGAGCTACACCCACTTAAAAATACAGGTGGGGTTTGGTTTTCCCTTGAGCACTCTAATAGCTTCCTGATAAAAGCCCTTCTCTTTCCTAGCCCTCACTGTTGGGTACAGGTAAACAGGAAAGCACAAGTTGAAGCTACCCCACCACAAGAAAGCTGCTCTTTCCTTCTTGTCCCACTCCAATTAATGGTGAAGGGGAGGAAGACTCTCCATTTTGAGGGCTCTAAGCAGTATTAAAAACATTCCTTTCTGGCAAGAAATAATCAGTTAAATGCAGCACTAGTAGTTAGTATATAGGCTACTAACCCCTCCACCCCCAATCACTCAGCACTCTTTCCTGTCCCCAAATCTACTCAGTTAATGTCTCTAGGTCTAAGTGGTCCGCAGGTTGGAACCTGGGGGGTTGCTGATGGATTTCTGCAAATTGCTGATGTTGAAATTCTGTAAGGAGGCAGTCCCCACAGGCTGGAACTGCCCAAGTGGCTGTGGTGCAGGGCCACCCGTCCCACTCCATTGAGTGCCAAAGGGAGGAGCTGGAAAACTGTACTGCTGTGGGGGGCACATAGACTTGGTGAAGTGACCTAGAGAGGTAGCTGATGCTGCAGAGATGGGGGCAGGGCCAGCCAGGTTTGAGGTCATGGAGATGCACAGCTGACCAGGTGCTGAGAACTTCCTTGCCATTCCAGGGCCCTGAAAACAAAACAACTCATTGTAAAGTGTGGTGTAGGCATAACATGCGTGAGTGTGAAATGGGCAATACAAAAATACAATTTTACAACTGGGGCTGTTCTACTCTTATAAACCCTTTCATAATAATAATTATTGGCTCTTTACACTTACCTAACAGGTGAGAATAACCATTCAGTTTGGAACTGAGTGGTGGTGTGTGTGTGTCTGTTTGTGTATGACGACGGGCATGCAGTTCAGGGTAATAAAGGAAAGGGAAGAAAAAATTGAGTTGACCAATAAGGAGTGAAGGATTCAGGGAAGGAAAAATAAAAGGGTACTTGGGTGATTTTTGTCTTGTTTTTCTAAAAGTATTAAAATTGCCTGGCTGGAGTGATACAGTGGTTGAGCGTCACCCCATGGACTAGGTCACAGTTTGATTCCCGGACAGGGCACATGCCAGGGTTGCAGGCTCGATCCCCAGTAGGGGGCGTGCAGGAGGCAGCCGATCAATGATTCTCTCTCATCATTGATGTTTCTATCTCTCTCTCCCTTCTCTCTGAAATCAATAAAACCGTATTTTAAAAAAGTGTTAAAATTAATGAGCTACTAAAGTAGATCACAGCCTGAAATGTTAAGCATGGTCTCAGATGTGCTAAGTGACACTAATCGATTAGGAAAATGGAAAAAAAGGAAAACTTACCTCATAATTCATATGTCCTTTGCTTCCTCTCCTGCCTGAAAGATTCATGGCATCTCGGGCCCAATTGTCCACCAACTTGTGCAGGTCATCTGTGAATGTGCCCTTTCTGCTGGAGGTCATGGCAGGAGGCTGAGTTTGGGCAGCTTGGCTGTTCACTGTCCCCCCAACAGTGTTTGTGCTGCTGGTCCCTAGAGTTAGAAGAAGCAACAGAATATAACCATTACATGGTGTTTGGATTATAATTTAATGAAGAGGAAAAGCTTCACAGAATGATGAATGGCAAGCCACAGAATGGGGAGGATGGATTGGGAAGCCATGCAACAAAGGAAGATTCCAAGTCCTTATTTAGCCAAATGTTTTGCCATAACAGGGCAATGAAACCAGATTCTCTTCAGGAGCTGCAGGTAAGGAAGGCTAAAGAACTCAGGACCATGGTTGGTACAAAGGGCAGGGCCCTCTTTCAGCCCATTCACATAGCATCTCAGAGGACTGAAACGTACTGCCAGTAAACGTTTCCAGCATCGATGAGGGAAGAGTGGGATGGTCAGTGAGGCTAGCTGTTCTAGAGTGTTAGAGAACGCAGGGCAAACAAGGTGATTTCTTGAGCACTGGGACAGGGTTCGAGTGGGAGTTACAGAAATGCAAAGACAGGTGTTTGGCCCAGGAAAAGACATAGT